GCCCGTGATACCTGGGCATGGGGAAAACAAATAGAAAAAAAAAATGGTGGTGGGGGGGTTCCGCACTCTCAGAGAGGAGTCCAAATCCGGGCTCGTATCTTTTTTTGATTGTTGGCTTTGAAGGGGGGGCAACGCGGGTATAAATTGTTTTTAAAGGGGCTAAAGGGGTTTAAAGGGGGGTGCCTTGGTGTGATTCTGTTATTTTCCTTTTCAACTCCAGTTCCGTGAGGAATTCTGATGTGACCCTCAGCCAAAAGTTGTTTGCATTGCAATTCTACACAACGTATTTTTATTGAAAATTTCCCTTTTTTTTCCTTTTTTTTGGGCGCTGAGGCTGCCCAGGACCCTGCCCGGAGGTCATGCCCGGCAGGTCACCCGGGCGTGTTTCCGGGCACCACTTGGGTGCCCGGGCGCCCGGGAAAATGGCCTAGAAAAAAATTAAAAAAATGGCCTATAATTTTTTTTTTAAAAGTGAATAGGAAAAGAAGAAAACAAACATGGATCCGTCAACGGCTAGGCGATCTTCTCCTTTCTTCCTATTAACTGATCTGTATGGGGGTTGGATGTGGTGGTGATGTAAGTAGATGTTGGATATCCGTGGATGCTCTAGCAAATGTGTGCTGTTTTTCCCTGTCAATTCTGCACTTTGAGCCAAGGTTGCTAGCAGGGAAGAGAGCGGGCTTTTGTGTCAAGTATTTTCGTTGTACCTGTAGCTCTCTTTCCTTCTTTCTTCTTTCCTGTGCGAGTCTGCAAGCCTACATGCTTCCTTTGTGTGGTGAGAGGCGGTATCATAGCTGGAGATAGCATATCTTTGAAGTTGTATGTACATAAGGTTTGAACTTTGAAGTGTTGCTTAGGGTAAGAGCAAGTTCACTCTCCGCGAGAATTCAAAGAATAACCAGAGGGATCTGATGATAATAAGGCTAGGATCTCTCTGAAAAACCAGGAAAAACTAGGGTTCGCCTATGGGACTTGTAGTGGCATGCTTACCCCTAGCGTTCAAAGTGCCCGGAACGACGTGGCTTGTTCGATAGTGCTTCAATCAGGGCTGGGGAAGGCTGTGAGAACCTGCTTAGCCCTGATGCCTATAACTGCTGTGCAGTCAAAGATCACTGGAATGGGTGATGATCTTGGGTATGCGCAGGTAGGACCTTGGGGGTAGGGATGCGCTGGCGATCGAGATGATGAGTAAGGGCGGGAGGGTGTCTCATAGGGGACCGGTTAGGCAATACATGGAGATGATCAAATGGTCAGGTGCTGGAAGACGTGCCATATGCCTAGTAGCCAGCCGCCACAACAACCTGGACTTAAACCACCACTACCTTTCCCATATGTCAGGCCGCGGGCGTCTAGTAGCTTACTCCTGGAAAATAGCCGCCATTGCCGCCGTCGATATTTTTCATCAACGGCGTGTGGCGGCTTAATTCCAATGTGAGGCCCGCAGCCCCACATATGAGAAAGGTAGTGGTGGGTAAGACGGTGGTCCTCCGAAGCAAACATAATCATTAAATGGTCAATCAAGCGACATCCTCAAGAGAAGGAGAAAGTAAGAAGAGAAAGAGGAAGAGGAAGAAGAAGAAGAAGAAGAAGAAAGTAGGAAGTGGAAGAAGGAAAACCACAGTAAGCCAGAGAAGTCAGAGAAGAGATCACACGTCCAGATTTCCCGAAACGCGACCGAGATGGCCGTCAGAATTTCAACGTAAAGCACCGCCAAGTACATCGGATAATCATCGTGAATCTCATGGCGCAGCGACCCTACGCTGCGTTTCATCCGGCCGCCACACCGGAATCATCAGGGGTCTTAGTTCAATCGCGAAATGGAGGGACTGGACAAATGGTAGACCTGGAATAAGTACTTACAGGAAGACCGCCAGAAAAGACGCTTATCGGAAGAACCGAGAAAAGGACAGGACCAAGACCAGAATCAAGGGAAAGAAGGGCAGGTAACCTCAGAAAAGAACAGAACCACAATAGCGACCAAGTTAATGGAAAGGCCGCCAGAGCGCGTATCGGAAGGACCGAGAAAGAACGAGATAAAGACCTCAGAAAAGAACAGAACCACAATAGCGACCAGATTCGTCGTACTATCACAGGTTTTCCTACGAAAAACTAGAAGAGACCAATACACAGATCAGATGCCAAACATACTCCAGGCCTAAGTCGCAGATCAAGACGAAAAGAAA